CTAACCCCTATTTTTCTTTTCATAATTTTATTACATATAGTTTAAATAGCCATATTTAAAAATGCTATAAAATCCTTGTTATTTTTTCATAATTTTTTAAAGAAAAAGGGTGCCAATGTTAAATGTATGAAAAGTCTAGAGAGAATCATTTCCCGCCAAATTTTCAATGGCTTATATCTCGAAAACAAGCACACGGACCCTTCATATTTTTCTGCTTTATTAGTTCCTTTATTTATATACTATCAATTTATAACAGTCTTTTAAAAAGCTTGTTATTATGAAATAGAGTAACGAACATCCTTAAGGACAGATATGGTGTAAACAACAAACACCGACAACAAATGACTTAATCGTTCGTTCATTTGACATCACATATAGATTTCTTAATATGCAAATCTTATATTTTTGTTAGTTTTAGATATTATCCGTTGGTTATTAGAGTCCAGCATCTCCCCAGTACCTTTTAGCGACAGAGGTCAAACAAAATTGATAACTCATATTCCGGTTATTCTACCAAATAATTCTTCGTTAAAGGAAAACAAAACCTAGACAAATCGATTAAGTTGCACAACAAAAGGATTTTGATCTAAATGATCCAAAATTAATTTTTGCTGTGTTAAGCAACGAAAGTTTATTGCTGACTATATAGTATGAGTTTTTTTTTCCTCATTGTTAAAGGATGTACAGAGGCCTATAACAGCTTACAATCACGCCATTTGGACTATTGGTGTATCATTGGTAATCATACCACATCTCCGTTTGTTTGTATTGTCTCCTAATCCAACAGTTCTTGCAAAATCAAATCAATCTGGAATAATAAAGTAGTTCTAAGATCTGTCGTTTTTATATTGACCTTATTCTATAAAGATCTGGATTCACGTATACTTATACTTTACTATTTACTTTACTTTTCCTGATCGACCTTTTCTTATTTTCATGAGTCGGAGTTCCTTCAGACACTTTAAAAACAAGAAGATTAACGAACGATGCTGGATCATATAATTTCACATACAGGTATATTGATGTTGTTCTTTCCATTAAAAATCCAAACTTTTCTGATAAGGTCTGATTAATATATCCCCCTGAACTAGAAATTACAGAAACCACAGATACAGCTTCCTCCACTTCATTTCTAGAAATGTACCTCGAATTTGAGAACCGCGGTCATCTCAGTACCAAAATCTATGACAAACGAGACGGTTTCAATTTTGAAATTACAAATTTTCCTCACCTTAGCAGCAACAAACCAACTTCAACCGCTTATGGAGTATACATTCCTCAACTCATACGATATTCAAGAGCTTGTAGCTGCTTCTCAAACTTTTTTACACACCATCAGTGTCTGAGCAGAAAAATATAATGAGCAAGGTTATGGTCAAAGAACGTCTCGTCCTTTTTCTCAAAAAGTTCATCAAAAAGTACCAAGACATTCAGTTTCTACTTCACAAATAACACAAGATGGTCTTGAGATATTGATTTTAGGTGTTGATTTTGTGTCTTTTTTTTTTATTTTACTTAACAGTTTCCACTTTATTTATCTTCTTGCTGTTATGTTTCTTTTGATCGTATGACTTTTGGGGTGACTCGGTATTTATGCATTCGACCATCGTCCTTTTTTTTTACTTTGGGCGTCCTTGATGCTGACGGATCCTGAGGTGCAATTCGGTCACAAGAGGGTTTTTACATTTTTGTTTCCATTTTATTCACCCTTGGTTTTATATTAGATTTGTGCTTTATCGAAAGAGTACTATAAACGAAATGTACTTTCAACTACAAAAGCTTTTTTATCGGTGTTTGATATTTTATAGTGTGTCTTTCTATGTTGTAATGTTACACAATTGTTTCAGATAAGGGTGAAGGCTTGGTACCATTAAAACGTTTAAACCCGCTGCAATTATTTGCACCTGTCCTAAGTCAGGAATCTGATGTTCAGTAGTTGTCGTTTGTTGATGTGGTTCATAAGTGTTTCTCGTTTCTCGTTTTTTTATATAGATTAGACCGTTGGTTTTCCCATTTGAATGGTTTTACAGTAGTAATTTTTTGGGGCCCTTTATAGCTTGCTGTTTGGTGTGAGCCAAGGCTCCATGTTGAAGACCGTACTTTGATCTATAATGGTTTACTTTTATTAATTTTGACTTGGATGGAGAGTTGTCTCATTGGCACTCATACCACATCTTCTTATATCTACTTAGTAAAAACACTTTTTTGCTGACCCGTTTTTGTCAAATTTACTATCAACTACAGAATCTTTTTAGTTGGCGTCTTAGGTAGATTTATTTATAAGTTTGTTTGAATTTTTTAGTCAGTTATGTTGTATATCTGTGATGTATGTCTACACAGTTTTGGCTGCTGGATCCCAAATACAGTAACCCAATTTTGTCAATAGAACGGATAAATAAACAACTGCCATACAAGTGGGAGGTTAAGCTAGCTATACCAACCATTTTCTTTGGAAAATGCCTGTACTAAGTCAGAAATATGACAAATGTTTTTCACTCGTTCCGTTGGTTGATTACGTTGGATTTTGTCAGTTATTATGGACTTCCCCTTTTTAAATTTACCTTGGAGTTTTCTATTTTTCTTATACTTTTATACGGAACTTTGTTGGTAAAAGAGAGAAGAATTGTACCAAAGGAATAATCAAACTCATAAGTCGAAAAAGAACTGACAATGGCATGGCATTAACTGAAAAACGACCAAAAGACAAACAACAGTACACAATAGTTCTTATTTATATTAGATAAAGGTCAAAATCATGATAAAAAAGTTCTAAAATCTATCAGTTTCTAAAACATTGTTTTAAGAATTATAACTTAGTGGTTTTCTTTTTATTATTCCATGCATCTGTTATCACTGACGTTGCTCCTTTTAAACAGCATAAAAAACGAAACATTTAAAACGTTTGCCGCTCGTATTTTTATATTTATCAATAGATCCACCAGCTGCCATCTAAATTTGGACTTGTTTCTTTTATTTCTTACAGTTTTTTAAACGTTTCTTTCTGTGACATCAAACTAGGGGGCGGTTGGGTATGTTTGTGAAACCGTTGACCCCTATTAATACTCCTATAAACCTGCGATATAAATTTAGTCTTAACTTGGTCATTTACTGTAGAATGGTATCATGAAAGTAATTCTATTCATTCTGTACGTCTCAGACCATACTAACAACTCCTATGAAAGTGCTTAGATTTTATAAAGATACCAAAGGAACATTCAAACCCATAAGTCGAAAATAGACTGACAATGACATGGTAAAAAAAGAAAAAACGACCAAAGGACAAATAACAGTATACAAAACACAACATAGAAAACTAAAGGCTAAAGACTGAGCACCACAAACCCCGCCAGGTGCTCCGGAAGGGTAAGCAGATTCTTCCCTAAATGTTGCACCCGTCGTGTTGCTAATGCAAGTACGAACCCGGTGATAATTCTAATTCAGTAGGTCACATTTGAGGAAAAGACAACTGGATTGTACTTACGACAATTGTAACATATTCGTCGTCGTTTGTGAAACAGATATTCCTTAACGGTCAACCAACTCGTGATTGCGTCCGTAAAATTTTTGAAGGGATGATTTCAACTTCACCATTTGGAACTTTTAGTTAAATAGCCCCATTGTAAGCAGCAACTCTCTAACATGGAAATCATGATAGGAAATGCCAGCAGCTCTGGAATACCGTAGCAACTGTGAGATATATACTTCATAATCAGGCGCTGTTGGAATGTTGCTACATAAAAATGAAAAGTTCAAAATTGGGAAGCTGAAATCATCTCTTTTGTCATTAAGTTTTGTTCTCAACCGACCCTCATTGTATATTTCTAGATGCAAGTCAATATATGATGCACACTTAACTGTATCAGTTATATTCTTTATTTCAAGTTCGATTGGATAGATGCGTGCAATCAAGTCACCACACTTGAAAGATTCAAATTAAAGAATATGCGATGATATAGGTGAAGAACTCGTGAAGATGTATAAAAATAGTCCAACGAGAAATTTGGAGGATTCTTTGTGATGAGCAAAGTTTCTGTGCACAGTTAAGCAAGTGTTGTTCTTCATTCATACTATGTCAAAAATTCCAGAAACATAGAGTACCCTTTAATAATGCCATTTCTCTATCAATAATTCTTCGGCACCATATGTGTTTTGCAGTTTTATTCACACCTAAAGGTGTTGAAAATTTCAGAATTTGACAGTTCTGTCAACGTTTTCTTTATAGTAAAAACGCAGAACTAAAAAAATCATTGTCGCTTATGCAGAAAAATACTTCATTGTAACCTAAAAAAAAAAGGAGACGAGAACATATTTCTGTTTTAGTTGTTTTTCCTTGAAGGACGATAATCCAAAGTTTATCAATGAAAAGCTTTAACTGTGATTTACCTTTATCAATTTTCTAAAGTGATATATCATACGTTTTATCCACTTTAAATGTCCTTGAAACTTTTTTGCACTATGATATAAATAGATATTTGTTACACAATGATTTAATCTATGTACGTAAAAAGTGCATGAGACAAATAATAGTACGGAATCAACCTTAATAAATCATACGATTCAATTGCATCTAATCATATAATTTAGTTTTTTTATTTTATAAATGAAGTTTTTAAATGCCATCTTATTGACCACAAAACAAATACTATGCATGAGGGTGTGGATGGAGGTTTACATGATAGAGAATAATAAGCAAAATAATATATAAAGAATAGTGAAAAATGGACCAAAAAAATAAAGAATAAATAATAATGCTGTACTAAAATATAAAGAATAGAGAAAAGAGGGCAAACAGTATAAAGAATAGAGAAAAAGGGCCTTAAAAATTAAAGAATCAAAAATGAAGGACCCATCATACAGACCCTCGTGCATAAATGTGTCTTTTTCCTTTAATATATAAAAGTACATGCAATATTTTGTAAATTTGTGTAGAAAAGTACCTGAAACATTCGCGTTTGTATTTAAATAATTTGCAACTTTTACTAACAATATGCCAAGTGAATACTTGTTCATTTGATTGACATTTAATGTCGTTTAAATTACATAAACTGGAAGAAAATCCGTTAACCAGTATAATACTACAGTCTATGGCGAAAACATAAGAATAAGATTCACACAGGTATTTCTTTAATTTATTCTATCTCTAAAAGATATAAAATGACGACTATTTAATTTGCTAGGAGGACAGGAAAACTTTTTGTAGACGGGATTGTCTTTTTTCACTTGATGCTATGCCGGCTTATCTATTTATCGCGACAAATCAGCTCGAACATTATTTTTGGTTAAATGTTCTTGTTTTAGGTTTGCAATGTTTTTAACTTTAATTTTATTATTTATCAAGCTAAAATCATATTTTCATTTTCATTTGTATAAAAAATAACCAAACAAAAAAACAAACAAACAAAAATATTAATAGGGGAAATAAACATAATATGGTTTTCGGAAAGAATTGTCGAATCCTTCTTTGCAATCTGATGTTGGCGTATTTGCGAGTGTCTATAACCATCTAAATATGTTTAAAAACACTAGCCTGTAAGGGAAATTTGTAAGAATCATTTTCTATCGTCAGAAATTCATGGTTTATACCTAAGCTGAATTTGGCAAAACCTTTCTGAATTTTTAGCCCTCAATGCTCTTCAACTTCCTACTGTGTTTAGCCTATTAAATTTTGATTCGAGCGTTACTGATGAGTCTTTTGTAGATAAAACGCGCGTCTGGCTTACAAAATTTTAAGCCTCGTGTCTTTGATTCTTTTTTTTTATAATATTTGACAGAATGGTGATTTCGCTGACAACTTTGCTGGTGGTCTTCATTTGTACTGTCGTGTTTGAATGTTACCAATGGGACACTTTTGCGAAACAGAACAAGCCAAACATCCAAGCACTTGATTTTGCAGAACTGATGCAGATAAATAGAGATTTATACAGACCGGAAAATGAGCAGAATAATTTGGAGGATACAAATGACCTTCTAGCACGACAATCTGATGAACGTCCAGTTGTTGAAACACGTTTTACAAGCCCTTCTGAAAATCCGACTGTTTATTTAAATTCTTTCTATTCTAAAAAAAGGCAGATGACTGGAGAAATAACTGATGATCTACAAAAACGTCAACCTGCTAAACATCTAGACGCTAATTCACGTGCGTATTCAGCTTCCGGTAAATATAGACAAAGGAAAGAGAAACCTTATAGACAGAATGATTTTTATTCATTTCCTCCTATCGAGTCAAATATATGGGACAATAAGAATAGACAAAAACGGCGCAAGCGCTCTGCGTTCAATATAAATGAACTGGTAGCTAATCTTAAAAAGCTGAAACAGCAGTCATCGCAAAAGAGACCTTCAACTTCAAATCAGTCTGATGCGCAGAAAGAAAGAGATGGAAAAACTATTTCCCTGTTTGGTAAGATAAACTGTTTTTAGCAATTTGAATCATAAGCGACTCGGTTATCTTATAAAAACACAGGATGTAGCACGACTTTCAAGTATTTCCAGGCAAAATTGTAAATGTTGGTTTAAGGACTGTTTTTTTTCAATTTTGCTTATTCTCAGTGGGCTATTTCTATAGAAAACGAACAGGATCTTGTCATATTGAATGTGTATTTTCGACTCTTTTTCTTTTAAATTTTGCTCTATTTTTATCTTCATCTATGCTCGCAAAATAGTTTTTTACAGACGTTCTACCGGAGTAAACTCATGCAATATATCTGTTCTTTATATATACAATTTTCATTGAACGACTTCAAAAGGTGAATTTCCAGATTCAAAAATTTAAATAAATGTGTACTAGAAATTACACATTTTTGCGCGAAGAATATACTTTTTCACACATTATTATTAATTATTATTCGTATTTCTTTTCAACGTGTCGAATTAGTAATATGATGATGATGCAGTGGTGCTCAATGTTCAGTGGCATATATTACATGCATAAAAGAAATCTGAATGACACGCTTATCCGGATTTAAACGTGCTTTTGCAGCAAAAAGACATGTTACCCTACCCTGATATATTATTTTGACTCCTAGCGGACCAGTCTGTGTTGTTTATACTTAATGACACGTGCCTAGCGGAAAGGCATCAAAAGCCATGGTCGTTCGTACCAGAGGCGAACATGACTACCAAAGGATGCATAAGCAAAGGATATTTATATGACAGTGATATGCTATTTTCTTGAAAATGCATTTTATATTTGCTTCTGAACGTTGAGCGGCCATCCATGAATCAATCAGACAGGCGATTATTGTTCCAGAAGATATTAATTAAATTATTCTTAACCATTTCATCGATGAAATATTGATTTAATATTCCGAATAACAATATGTACAAACACATTGTAGGAGCAAATATGCCAGTTCCAGGTGACAGCTTCCGTCATGGACTTCGCTTTGATATGCCAAATAGTAATTCTCTCAGCAGTGACAGATGTTCAAATACCTCTTCGTTCTTTCCAAAGACATTTGGTGGAAAGTAAGAATTTTACTAATTAAAAGTTTCAGAACCTAAAGGATTCTTGGTAATTTCATTGTGCGTTCACAAAATGGTAAAAAAAACGTTACGGCATTTGTCAAATATTCATTGTTAAAGATGATCGGAACAGCCCAAACAAATCATGACGTTGCCGATCAGCTGACATACAATATATTCATATTTTACCACGGGTGTGTACTCAAAGCGTTTGAAGAACGTCATATTAGAATACGCCATTTGTCAAATATTCATTGTTAAAGACGTCATTAGCCAATCACAACAATTTGGTGTACGCGTTTTTAAATAGTACCAAGAATGCATTATGTTCTGAGATGACTAATTGTTTTCTTTAATCAAGCCGTTAAAAATTATAAATATTTCTTCATAGGCGTTGTTGAATAAATTAATCCGGATGTACATTGCACATCAGTAGTCAGTGCTGCGGTAATGACATGATTTATATCAAACTTTTCTCTTCTTCTCGATAAATTAATAAATTATTAAGAAACTGAGGTTCCAACTTCCTGGGACAAGGTTGACCTTATATGTATTTGGCTATACTTAATGTTCCTTTTAGTCATATAACTCTTCGCGTTTGTATGTATTTATACATCCTGGGCTTTCAAATGTTTGGATTCTAGCGTTTTTTGATGAGGGTAAATATAGAAAAGCGCTTCTGATGCATAAAATTTATAACGTGTTGTTTTCATTTTTTACAGCACTGGGTTGATACCCCTGCTGGTGGACTATCAGTCCCCGAGGGTATCATCAGCTCAGTAGTCAGTACTTCGGTACTGACATGGTTTATAACAAACCTTTCTAAAATTGTCCATTAATAAATTTTGAAATTGTTAGAAACTAAGGTTTCAACTCCCTCAGGCAAAGTTGACCTTAGATGGATGTTCTATTGCAATGTATTGCGCATTCTGTTCAATCGTGTAAATTATTTCAAAAACGAATTTAGAATTTGTAGCATTATGCTTTTGAATATAATCAAGTTTTTTTCCCAAAACAGAACATACAATTTAATTTCTGTTTGCATGTTGTTTAAACCTTGTATGCATTTATTTACTCATTGATCACTTGTCTGTAGTATTTGGTATCATACATATGTGTAACGGAGATATTAATAATGTATGGTTGTCTTACCGTCCAGTGGCAAATATTACATACATATATGTAACGGAGAGATTAATAATGTAGTGTTGTCTTACCGTCCAGTGGCAAATATCACATGCATATGTGTAACGGAGAGATTAATAATGTATGGTTGTCTTACCGTCCAGTGGCAAATATCACATGCATATGTGTAAATGAGAGATTAATAATGTATGGTTGTCTTACCGTCCAGTGGCAAATATCACATGCATATGTGTAACGGAGAGATTGATAATGTAAGGTTGTCTTAACGTCCAGTGGCAAATATCAAACGCATATGTGTGACGGAAAGATTGATAATTCATGGTTGTCTTAACGTCCAGTGGCAACTATTACATGCATATGTGTTACGGAAAGATTGATAATGTAAGGTTGTCTTACCGTCCAGTGGCAAATATCACATGCATATGTGTAACGGAGAGATTAATAATGTATGGTTGTCTTACCGTCCAGTGGCAAATATCACATGCATATGTGTAACGGAGAGATTGATAATACATGGTTGTCTTAACGTCCAGTGGCAAATATTACATGCATATGTGTAACGGAAAGATTGATAATGTATGGTTGTCTTACCGTCCAGTGGCAAATATCACATGCATATGTGTAACGGAGAGATTAATAATGAATGGTTGTCTTACCGTCCAGTGGCAAATATAACATGCATATGTGTAACGGAAAGATTGATAATGTAAGGTTGTCTTAACGTCCAATGGCAAATATTACATGTATATGTGTAACGGAAAGATTGATAATGTATGGTTGTCTTAACGTCCAGTGGCAAATGTATCATGCATATGTGTAAAGGAAAGATTGATAATGTATGGTTGTCTTAACGTCCAGTGGCAAATATTACATGCATATTCAGAATGAGGTATTCTTATTCTGGTGTGAACAGGAATATGTCAGTTGCTTTCCATTCGTTCCGTTGGTAGAAAAAATCTAACGGGGTTTTTTTGGACAATTTTTATGGACTATCCCTTTTTGAATTAATTTTGTAGTTCGGTATTTTTCTAAGACTTTTTTTGTACGAGACAGACATGCATGCTGAGCTTGTTTTTTGCACAGGTTAAATGTCCCGAGGGATACATGCCAACCAATTCAAACATTATTCTGACTCCTAGCTGACAATTGCTTGCTCTTAATTTTAATTGTCACATGCTAGTCAGGAGAGCATAGAATGATAGTTTTAAAAAAACAAAGGTTCCAAACTCATGCAAAATTGACTTAAAATGAATTTGGCTATTTTGTTTAGGTCCTTGTTGGTCGTATAGCTCCTACCGTTGCAGTGTATTAACGCATATTTTAAAGTCTTTGGGTTTCTAACCGTCTATCAATTCAACGACCTTCAACACCACAGAGAGATTACCGAGATTGTTATCGTATTTGAACAGGTGCATAGTTGATGCTTTCAATAATAACAAAAATTACATTATACATTAACCGGCTCGTATAAAAAGGATCTGAATCATAATCAACTGCTTTTATCGGTTTGAACCACTTTCATATTCCCGTTAGCTAATGATGTCTAATACAGTTCCAACGAAAGCAGCTATGTTTAAAATTTCCGTTAGCTATTGATGTCTAATACAGGTCCAACGAAAAGCAATTATGTTTCAAATTTCCATAAGCTAATAATTCTGGTCCAGTTCCAAGGAAGAGCAATTGTATTTCAACTTTCTTGTAGTTAAAGGTATCCGACACAGTTTCAACGTTCCATAAACTACCCGAATTTGGATACTGTTCCAACGAACAGCAATATTGTGTTTTAATTTTCAGTTAGCTAATGGTGCATTGTACAGTTTCAAGAGCAATTGCATTTGTTCACCAGACGGTCCTATGTCTGACTGATTTTTAAAAAAAATGACAATCTTTGAGCATTTTTTTTAAATGAAAAGTATGAACTTTTTGACTTCATGAGAAATTATTCCGTAAATGTATCGTCCTGAATCTTTTGTTTCATTGGTGTACAATTTATCATTGAACAGACTGGTTGTCTGAGGTAACAAAAATGTTATCTTCCTTAATTTACAAGATGCTTTGTGAGAGAAAAAAATGACAATCTATGAGCATTTTAAGCATTTTATAAATGTCGTCTACTGATTAGAGTGTAACCTTTGTGGATTGGTGTACGTCGGTGAAACGAAAGGAAGGCTAAACAAACGTATGTGCGGCCATAGATCAGATATCAACCTCAATGCAAACGACATTCTGTACCAGCATTTTAATCAGCCTGATCATTCCATCGTTTCTATGACAGTTCGTATAATCGAAAAAATATACCACAATACTAACAATCCTCAACCTGCAACGCCTCTCCGTAGACAAAAAGAGGACTACTGGATTCGACAATTGGGAACTGCGACATCATATGGTTGCAATGACAAAATTGATGGTATAGGTATTCTATCTAGTCCTTCCTGTAGCTCGGTGAATGTGATGAATATTTTCAACTCTACTCCTCGACGTAGACGCAGTCATGGTCATCGTCATTATACATCACCTACTTTGCATGATGTCTCTATTAATGACTTGCTGCCATTTATACAAAAGCCGTTAAGTATTCATCACATTCGCACGAAACTGTATTCATTACCCCTTTCAAAACTTCATTCTCTGTTCAGTTTATGTTTGGAAACCACTGTTACAAACCCTCATTCAAACCAATACAAACTTACAGCTATCATTTGGGATATTGTAAGTCACAGACTTTTCAAACCAGTTCGCATTGGAAAAGATGAAAAAGAGAAAAGATCTTTTCTTAAACTTTCCTTTGCCAACAAAGGTCTCGATGGCGTCAACTTAGGCAATATCCTTCATCATAAATTAGTTCAGTCGAAAATACCTCCTTATTTTAAAGATCAGTCTGTACCAATAATTTTTATAAATTAATAAGGTCCGAAATATCGTGAGCCTAAATCCATCAATCGGAAATACAACTTCAAAATACTGATGGATTCAGTCGAGGATTATGCCAGGCAATGGGCTAAACGCGAGAAAGAAGACGAAGATACTCTTTCCGAATGGATTAAGGCTGTGAGGTCGTTGATACAAATCCGAATTTAGTTTCAATGCCCACGCTACATCAATTTTTAAAAACCCAAATGTTGCAAAACACTTGTCCTACCTCCATGACAAATATGTTGTTGTCCCCTCGTTTTTGTGTGTAAATATCATTACATAAACTGCTTGATAAATGAATTAGGTATTGACAATTCACTTGGAAACTCAACATATACCCTCACGACAAATACCAAAGAGGAAATCCTGGATAATCATAGGTCTGTTCTATGTTCCTTTGGAATTTCAACCAAAGATAAAGAACTGGATCTTCCATCACTGTATTGGATACCTAAACTACATAAGTGTCCTTACAAACAACGGTATACTGCTGGGTCTTCCAAGTGCTCCATGAAACCTCTTTCTAAATTATTAACATCTATTTTATCAGCAATCAAAGCCGGGCTCCAAAGTTATTGTGAAACTGCCTATTCTAGAGGTGGCGTGAATCAGATGTGGATACTAAAAAATTCCAAAGATCTTTTAGATTACATACAATCTAAGACTCTCTCATCTTGCAATAGTATTAAAACATTCGACTTTTCTACACTTTACACAAGTATTCCCCATTCCAAACTAAAAGACAAATTGAAAGAGTTGGTATTACTTTGTTTCATTAAAAAGAATGGTGAACGTAGATACAAGTATCTTGTCTTGAGGAGGGATAAATCCTACTTTGTAAAGAATCACTCTGATTCAAACAAAAAATTCTCTGAAACTGACATTATCAAGATGCTTGATTTCTTGATTGACAACATATTTGTTACGTTTGGAGGACGTGTTTTTCAATAGACTATCGGAATTCCAATGGGAACCAATTGTGCCCCTCTTCTTGCCGACTTGTTTCTTTATTATCATGAGGCTGACTTCATACAGAACTTCTTAGGAAGAAAGATAAGAAGTTAGCAATATCCTTTAACTTTACGTTCCGCTATATAGATGATGTTCTCTCACTAAATAATACAAAATTTGGTGACTATGTTGAACGAATCTATCCCATCGAACTAGAGATAAAGGATACTACAGATACAGTTAAGTCTGCCTCATATCTTGACTTACATCTAGAAATTGACAATGAGGGTCGGTTGAAAACAAAACTTTACGACAAAAGAGATGATTTCAGCTTTCCAATTGTGAACTTTCCATTTCTATGTAGCAACATTCCAGCAGCGCCTGCATACGGAGTATATATCTCCCAATTGATACGATATTCCCGGGCTTGTGTTTCCTTGATAGAGGATTGCTGCTCACAAGGAAGCTTTTAAGCCAAGAGTTCCAAATGGTGAAGTTGAAGTCATCCCTTCGTAAATTTTACGGACGCCATCACGAGTTGGTTGACCGTTATGGAATAACCGGTTCACAGATGATATTGGATATGTTCCTTATGTCGTAACTACAATACCCTTCCCTTTTCACGAAAGTGACTTACCGAATTAGACTATTTACCGGATTTGTAATAACATAAGCAACACGACGGGTGCCACATGTGGAGCAGGATCTGCTCACCCTTCCGGAGCACCTGAGATCACCCCAAGTTTTTGGTGGGGTTCGTGTTGCTTAGTCTTTAGTTTTCTATGTTGTGTCATCTGTACTATTATTTGTCTGTTTGTCTTTTTATTTTTGGCCATGGCGTTGTCAGTTTGTTTTCGATCTATGAGTTTGACTGTCCCTCTGGTATCTTTCGTCCCTCTTTTATTGACACTATAAAGTATGATCTATTATCTATCATTGAAATTTATTCTTTAAATGTATCGTTCTGAAAATGCATGAAGTATTTTGACATTAGGGGAATTATAATCAATCAATGTATCTATAATTATAGGACTGCCGGGATGCTTTCTGAAATCTTGAAAGATTGGTACCGAAAACATTGCAAGACAGAGACCAATCAGATTTGCGATGAAAACAATCGTTACGCCTCAGCAGATGGTTCTTGCAATAATTTAGATCATCCATCTTGGGGAGTGGCTAACCGTAACCAAGGGAGATATATCCCAGCAGAGTACAATGATGGTAGCAATTTTATTTATCATGTTTCATAGACAGTATCGAAGGCATTTTGCTCAATTGCATATTAATCAGCTAGGAAATTAGTCACGTGGTATAGGTACTAGAATATAATCGATAAGAAACCCTTTAATTGCTCGATATGATATTGAAATAATATATGTTAAAGGTTATAATTTAACTTCGGTTTTGATTGGGTACACTTTATAATATCTACATATGTAGGTAAAGGTTAGCATACAGAATATGGCGATTGACAATTTCCACGCCATTTGCCAGTCAAACGGCTCTAGTCCAAAAAACTATGACTGAATTAACTACAGACTTCAAACACTAAATGTTGAACAAACAATCATTTTTTCATGTCAGGGTCTTTAATTGCCGACTATACAGTATGCGTTTTACTCATTGTTGAAGGAAGAACGGTTGACTATAATTGCTTACATCATCTTCATTTGAAGTCTGGTGGATAGTTGTCTCTTTAGCAATTATACCACATCTCCTTATTTTCATAATCATATCTATTTATATTTCAACGTAGGATTGAATGAGCCACGAATTTATGGAAAATATGATACCAAGCTACCAGAGCCACGAGTTATAAGTAATATGCTGTTCAGACCACAAAAATCCACGAAACTCTCGCAGGATCTCACGATACTTCATATGGCATGGGGACAGTTTATGATACATGATGTAATAAAGACGCCAATCACAAAAGGTATGCTATGAATATATCATGGACCAAAGTAGTGCAACAATTTAAATCTTGCTTTTTTTATTGCATAATTTAGAGTTTTTCTAGATATTGCAAGCATGGTGTTATATTATATTGCATTGTCCTTTCAAATATTACAACACACTGAAGGAAATTGAATGCACTATATGAACTTTCCGAAAAGGAGTTGGTTGACAAGGGCCAATGTAGCCCTACATTTCCATGAGAGCAAAAAAAAAATGTACACGTCGATCCTGAAAATTGTTATTTTGATGAATGTCAGCTTAAATATGAATAGTTCTGTTTCATATAACAATGGCCATACGCAAAGACAAGAATAAACTACTGTTAGAATGTGAATTTTATCGAGACGCAAATGATGGCCAATGTACATCAGAAGGAAATATACCGTTGAACTCACGTGGTTTTTTTTTTTCTTCATACTTTTGAATCTATCAACACTGTCTGAAACAAATAAAACAAATAGTTACCAAAAATATTAGTTTTATTTACTAGATGCTCTAAAGAGTTGATCCTGCACTGCTGATTTTTTTTTATCTGTTTACAGTTTCTCTCACTCTTCTATAGATTTGCCCAAACTTAAAAAACTGTTTTAAAATAGTCATTTAGGTCAATAAAAAGACGACTGACAAATTCACCTATATTTTCATTACATAAGGCAAAACGAGAAAAAAAAATAGTAAAACCCCCATTAACGGGCAATTACTCCTATAAGGAACCAACAATACGATTTGAAACATGTGGATTTATTTGTAGATCTTGTCAAACTGATCATGTATGCAGCATAACGATTATGTCTATCTATTATAATTTTCAAAAGAATAGGCAAAAAAAGGGGGGAATCGTCATTTAAGGTAATAACTCCTACACGAAATCGTATGACAATTTTGATGTTAAAAAAAATCAGATGAAAGATCTCATCATTCTCAACATTTTTACCCTGTCAGATTTTCTCTTTCTAAAGTGGTTATCAAGATTACTTAAGACAAACATGCACTTTACACACATGCTCTATTTTTCGCCCTGTATGCCGTGTTGGTAGGAAGTCGGGATCATCTGACACATTCTTCAATAAACTAAATACCCTAATGATTGTGGCCAAGTTTAGTTAAATTTGGCTCAGTAGTTTCAGAGGAGATGATTTTTGTAAAAGATAGCAGAAGACGGACGACGACGGACGCTAAGTAATGGCAAAAGCTCCCTCTGGCCCTGTATGCCAGGTTAGCTAGCGACAGCGACATTTTTCTCTTTCTTTTACATCTGTATAATCTGACCAGGAAAAAAGTTTCCCCGAGACGTAATTCAGGAAACAAAAATGGTGGGGACAAATTCAGTATTACATGTACATTAATGGGGTTAAGCAATACAAAAGAAAACATAAATGCAACATGATAATTCGTATCTTTTCATTAGTATATATAACTTACCTATTGGAACCTCACATAAAAAAGAGGCGAAGGATAACTAAGGGACATTCAAACCCATCAGTCGAAAATAAACTGACAACGCCATGGTTAAAATCACAGTACACAAAACACAACATAGAAAATCAAAGACTGAGCAACACGAACCCCTTCAAAAACTGGGGGTGATCTCAGGTGCTCCGAAAGGGTAAGCAGATTCTGCTCCACCTGTGGCACCCGTCGTTAAAGATTGCTTGTATAAAAATAAGGTTCTGTCATTCGTAAAATACATTGAATTCTTCTAAGTATCCATCTATCGGATTACGTATCGATATAAACTGTTTTTCTAATATTTTAGGGGTTAAAGGTTCAGATATACAATGTTGTGGTGCTAATACTGGAAACAGGTAATACATTAGTAAACATTATAACGAGGCGGGCATTCCAAGGTGGCATTCAAAACTCATAAGTCGAAGATAACCCTTTTCCCAAAATATACTTTTCTTGACTCATTGCCCAAAGTAAAGAATTTTAGTTATCAAAGAATATTTCATTAAAAAATGAATGTTTACCGTTTTTAATAACCTTGTAAATAATGACGTATTTACTGGTTTTATTTGAAAGAGATATAAATTTTTGGTGTAAACAATATCTTTTCATGAATTGCAAACAGTACATCACATACAATTAAAATTCACAAATGAAAACAAATCGAATTTAGAAATAATCAACTAAAAGTGCTATTAAGTTTCATTTTGAACAGCAAACAAGAGAAAATATAATTATTAAAATGAAATGCAAGTAATATGCTGTTCAGACCACAAAAGTCAACGAATCTCTCGCAGGATCTCATGATACTTCATATGGCATGGGGACAGTTAATGAAAGTAAGTATTTTGTATGAATGATACGAATGTAAACCTTTTACATTTAATGAAGAACATATGTATATTATTTTTTCATAAGAATTCTTCATTACTGTGCGTGTGGTGTTTATTGTTTGAACGCTAATTTTTGTTTAAAATGAGATTTTAAACTTTATAAATCCACATGATATTCACTGACCTACTGATTTTACAGTCCCGATTGCTTCAGTTTAGCAATTCCACCAAATGATCCTCACTTCAACAAAGAAAGTCGATGTCTGAACTTTGTCAGATCGCTTCCAGGAAAACCAGACAACGATATGCCAGGTTAGTTTTGTGTACGACAAGCCAGGGCGTTGATATTTTATCTTCCTTAGGTCGGCGTGTACGACCGCCCCGGCCTCTATGATATTTATGCCCCGCCTACGATAGAATGGGGCATAATGACTTCTAGTCAGTGCGTTTGCCTGTCAGTTCGTCGTGTTTTAGATTAACAATATGTGGATTCTAAAAAAACTCTAAAGAACTTCTGGATAATTTTAAATCTCGATCTTTCTCTGAAATTAATTCTATCAAAACTTTTGATTATTCAACCCTCTATACCATCAATCCTCATGTGAAAAATCGTCTAAAAGAAATAATTCACAATGCTTTTCAATATAAAGATGTAGCATACGCTATAAACTTATTACTTTGGGATACCATACGGCATATTTTCTTAATAGTGAACAAAAAGGTAAAACATTCTACACAGAGGAACAAGTGATCAAGTGATCAGTATGCTGGAGTTTCTTATTGACAACATATTTGTTGAATTTTGAGGTAGACTTTTTCAACAAATTGTCGGCATTCCTATGGTAACGAACTGTGCGCCTCTCCTTGCGGACCTCTTCTTATTTTCATATGAGGCGGAGTTCCTTCAGACACTTGTCAAAAACAAGAAGATCAAAGAAGCCAGATCATTTAATTTCACATTCAGATATATTGATGATGTTCTTTCGATAAACAATCCAAACTTTTCTGATTGGGTTCCATTACTATATCCTCCAGAACTAGAAATTGAAGAAACAACAGACACGGCTTCTTCCGCCTCATTTTTAGACTTATATCTCGAATTAGACATCAGCGATCACCTCAGTTCCAGAATCTATTACAAACAAGGTGATTTTAATTTTGAAATTATCAATTTCTCCGATCTTAGTAGCAATATAAAATTAAGAATGGAAATGGGGAATGTGTCAAAGAGACAACAACCCGACCAAAGAGCAGAAAACAACCGACTTCACCTGCATATGGGATATACATTTCACAACTCATTCGGTATTCAAGAGCTTGCAGCTGCTACTCAGTCTTTGTAAAACGTCACCAGTGTCTGAGCATAAAATTGATGAACCAGGGTTATGTCAAAGAACGTCTCTTCCTTTTTCTAAAAAGTTCATAGGAAGATACCAATACCTTGTTGATAAATATTCCGTATCAACTTCACAAATAATGATGGTCTTGATGTGTAGATTCTAGGTACTGACGTTGTTTATCATCTTAATTACCTGTTATAGTGTTCTTTTATTTGTCTTTGTAAATTATTAACGTTTACTGTTTGGTCTATTTTTGGTAATATCCTTTAGACGTGGCTCGGTACTTGTACATCCCGCCATTGTGTTGTTGTGCTGTTGTCATTCTTTGTATTCTTGTGTTTCAATGTTGCGTATGTGCTTTGTCTATATGCCATTTTGTTTTTCCTTGTTGACATATTTGTTTGTTTTTATAATTATTGAGATTATAACACAATGTTGACTGCTGTACCCCTATTTTTTACATTTTTACCTATTATGTCTGTTTGTTTTGTTCACATATTGTTGTAAATATAATGGAATTTTATGAGACTGTCATACAAGTGAGAGGTTTAGCTAGCTTTAAAACCAGGTTTAATCCACCATTTTCTACATAAGAAAATGCCTGTACCAAGTCAGGAATATGACAGTTGTTATTCATTCGTTTGATGTGTTTGAGCTTTAGATTTTGCCAATTGTTAAGGAACTTTCCGTTTTGAAGTTTTCTGGGAGTTCGGTATTTTGGTTGTTTTACTTTTTAGTTAAGGTAGTTTACCATGAAAGTATGGTCACATCAACTAGAATCTTAGTACACAAGTTTATGATGATGTGATTTTTTTAAAAATTATATGCCAAATTACGATTGTGACCCCGATTACACGGTTCACTGGGCATGGAAATGTGGTATAAGGAAATTGGTACATTCTCAGGTTTAAGTTTTTGGTTGAGGTAGTTTTCCACATCAACCTGAAACTCAGTACACATTACATTAGTATAAGGCGATGGGAAATGATTGCCAATGAAGCAACTACCAAACACAGCTCAAATGCAGTGGATTTAAACAACTATATGTCACCGTACCGAATTGAACCATGAACAAAACTAATATCATATAGACAGCTATAAAAGAGTCCCGACGTGATCAAATGAGAACAATACAAACGAAAAACCAATGGCCTGATTTATGACAAAAACAATAAACGACAGACCGCAACCAAAGACAATCCTGAAATTCAGACTCCTTACTTTAGACAAGCGGTGTTAATATAAAAATAAGAAGTTGTGGTATTATTGCCAATGAGACAACTGTCTACCATAGACAAAATGACGTACAAGTAAACAACTATAGGTCATCATACGGCCTTCAACAATGAACAAAATGACAAATGCGAAACAATTAAATAGGTTTGTAAGTGCTCAATCCTCCTCTTACCTGATATAAAAATAAACTGCAAAAATCAGTTGGATTTGGGTTGGCTTATCAGGTTGGCACGAAGCACAAAAGGCAACTCACATAAACGTACAAGATACAAAGTTCCAATCTAAGGGTCCTCGCAGTAACTAGAAAAAAACCAATAACAACCAATAAATAAATCATGATTTCCATGACTTAAGCATTTATCAGTACTAATCCAATGGATTCGGTTTAGGAAATCTCATTATTATTCTATGGCTCTGTCATTGGTGTGAAAAAATGATGCTGCGCTCACTTGACCAATTTGTTTGTTATTGTAACTCTCAGCTGAAGTATCAGTTAGTAGCAAACCTGATAATCGGTCCTCATTGGTCAATGTGCGAGGGTCTATTCAAGACGTGTAAGTTTTTTTATTCCTCCACATAGCAATTTTAACATATTATTATAATATTCATTGTATCATTAATGTAGTTATCACTATTAATAGGTATACGAGAACAAATAAATGAAATAACATCATTTTTGGATGGTTCTGCTATATATGGCTCTAGTGAAGAACAGATGAAAGATTTGAAGATGGGTTATAAAGGTAAATAGAAATTGTAACTACTAGTATATAAAAACAAACTTAATAGCGGGTTTTTTTTCGTGAAGTTCGATGTAATCATATATCCCCACTCATGGAGTGGGTAGACTAAAGCATTCGCTTTAGCTTATCCATCCGTGTGTTACTTTCGTTGTAATTATTCCGCTTTGCGTAATGATTAATAATTTGATGTTTGGTCTTAAACTTTATAATGATAAGTTGTACATGTACCATGTGAGTAATTTATATATATGCCGGGCATTGACTTTGAGTTTGACGACACTTCGAATTTCTATTATACCCACTGATATAAATATGATTGCCTATGTATCGTGTTCCTATTTAGCCCTTATACAATGGTGATTGGAACTTATATTTGAGGGTCTGGATGAAGTGTTCTTCATTTCTTTTTTCTTTAAATTTTTAGACAATTTTTTCTATTCTTTATTAATTTGGAATTACTCTCTGTTCTTTATATCCTATCTCCCTATCATTCTCTTACTTTATTGTTTTGCCTATTTTCTCTAATAATTATTTTTTTAAGCTATTTATTTTGCACTTGTTTGCCCTTTATTCTGCATTTGTTTGCCCATTATTCTCTATTCTGTAAACCTCATCCAGACCCATTTACATTTGAAATGTCTGCTAAAATAGACTTTAACTTGCAGTGAGGTGAGAATTGTTTTTTTTTTTCCCCTCGTGTTGAAGGCCTCACTGTGACTTTGAGATGAAGAACAGCAATAAAAGCGCTGTTCCTTTGCTTATTGCGTGTTTTTTTTTTTTTTTTTTTTGCTGTGCATGTACTGATTATGTGTCATGGATGGATACCCCATATCCTTTGTTTTTCTATTAAATATCATCTTCGTATCATCGGAGACCTTAAGCAATTGTGTGTCTTACAGGACTGTTAGCAACAAGAGAGTGTACATTTTCAAAGAAAGTCTCAAATTTTATGGGAAAACCCACCATTGAAACAGAGGGTTGTAGGTCTTTACCAAAAGGACCTGACACGCCTTGCTTGAAGCTTTCCAAGGGAGATTACTATGAATACTGTCAAAAAGCAGGTTAGAATATTTTACGTTTGAGTCATATTTCCATTTTGTAATGCCTTAGTTGTCAATAAGTAATAAAATTAAAACATACTGCTTGCAACTACTGACTACAGTAGGTAGACTATCAGTCCCGAGGGTTTCATCAGCTCGGTAGTCCGTGCGTCGGTCCTCACATGATTTATAACATACATTTCTTAAATTTCCCGTTGATAAATTCCCTACAGAGGTCTTTCAGTCCCCCGGGTTTCATCAGCCCAGTAATTAGTGCTTCAGTACTGACATGATTCATTACATACATTTCTAAAATTCTCCGTTGGTAAATATAGGAATTTTTAACAAACTAAGGTTCCAACTCCCTCAGGCAAAATAGACCTTAGATGAATTTTACTATTATATTTAGGTCCCTTTTTGACATATAGCCCCTACCGTTATTACATCCCTGGCTTTCTAGTATTTAGCTTTGATAATTCCTGGTGAAGTATAGTCCCATCTTGTAAGCAACGCTTGGACACATGATCTGTTTAATAATAAGATTGGTTTAATCCAGAAAGCGATTCAGACGCCAAAAAAAAATCTAAAGTGTTATTCTCATTAAAAGAGGGACGAAAGATACCAGAAGGACAGTCACACTCATAGATCGAAAACAAACTGACAACGACATGGCCAAACATAAAAAGACAAACAGACAAATAATAGTACAGATGACACAACATAGAAAACCAAAGACTAAGCAACACGAACCCCACCAAAAACTGGGGGTGATCTCAGTTAAATTACAGGAAACTCCTATAATTGCTACATCGAATGATTTGATGATTGGATTTCGGTTCTGAAATCAATCCATAATATCCATAAATCTACATCAAAAGTATGGAAAACTAAAGATAGGTCCTCACCTTGTTTTTTTTATACAAATATTTCAAAAAGATTATGACGATGTTTTGTGTGTAATAAATGAATGTTAACTGAAGACTCAAACATTAGAAATAATAAAATATCTTACTGCAAGTGTATTTGAGATGAACTTTAAGAAAACGTCTCACGGCGATACTTTTTAATGCAAAGCAAAGGTAAAGGGGTTCAGTATTCTCGATAACTGGTGGCCCTGTTGGTTCTGACCACTAAAAACCAGGTAGGTCTACCAAGTTAGTGTGTTGGGGTGGTCCTGATGTCCTACTAAACGTTTGTGGTCGTTTTATTCTTTTTTAAGGCTTTCTGGTAATTTGACATGGACCACATATTTATTGTGTTCACTGACCTTACCTAATTTAAATGGAAATAATTGATAACAACCATTTTACTGCAAATATCAGACCACCAAATTTTTCATTGGTACCACCAGACTTGTTGGCTAAAAATCTATTTCGAGAACTCTGGGGGTTATAAACTACAAACGAAAAGTTGAATCGGCTTGGCGAAGAACACCTACACCTCTATATCAAATACGCTCATAGGCAAATGTTTAGAAAGCCAACATGGTATGTGTGAAGAGCTATGAAGCCAAAATTGACTTAACAGGAATTGCGATACTCTCCTAATTTGTGTGTATGTGGAGAGGGGAGGTGAGGGACGAACACAATTAAATACACAATTGCAATAGGAATGTGTTGGAAGGTCTTTTTCACATGTATTGGTTATTTTCTTACTTGTGTAAGTTTTTATGTTATTATATTGAATTTGACACCTGCATTTACAATTTCACATAATGATTTATCAATTGAATTGTAGGCGACAGGCGAGTTAATGTTATCCCTAATCTGTGCGCTTTACACAACCTTTTAGTTAGATATCACAACAAAATTGCTGAAAGGCTTGCGCAAGTAAATTTCATATTATGGTCTTCAGATCAATTATTTGAAGAGACAAGAAAAATTGTCACCGCTATTTTACAACATACTACATATAACGAATATTTACCATTGGTAATTGGTAACAGGAACATGATCAGATACGAACTTTTTTCTGCGGAGACCGGTTTTGATACTGTTTACAACAAAATGGTGGATGCAACAGTCAAAAATAGTTTTGAAGCAGCTGCTTTCAGATTTGGACATTCTCAAATTACTAATTTCCAATCTAGGATGAACTCTCAATACAACCGTTACTCAGAAACACCAATTGAACAGACATACAAGAAACCTAGAATGTGCACAGCACAACGCGGGAAAAATATTCCTGATCTGCTAAGATGGATGTTTACTGACAGATCTGCAGAGGCTGACAGGTACTATGTTTTATTTACATGCTAGGAAAATATGGTTGTCGTACAAAATCTTTTCATCCTTACTAGGCTTGATTTACTTATCTTTACGAGCAATATAGCAAGAGCCGTAGTGAACTTTGTTTTAAATTCTCCTCCTGCTGATAACACTGCTTGTATGGAAAACAACCATGATCATTGAAATTAATTGAATCAAATTTATACGGTTAAAATTTGTTTCTAGTTGGCCGAAACTTGACTTAATTACGAGCCTAAAGCAATAAAAAGAAATATGGCTGATTCAGTTTCAACTGACCGTAACTGTAGATGGGGAAATTTAGTGTGATTGATCTTCGTAGAATCTACTGAAAGAGCAGGTTGGGTATAGAAAACTCCTGTTTAATTTCTTTCTAAATTGTTCTGATTGAGGTTATGAAATTCCGTCATTCCGAAATTCCAACTGTTGTCAGGACCTGCTTTTCGTTACACCTATTGAGCTTATGTCCGCTAGAGTAGAGGTTCAAGGTTCTTATATAATTAGCAATACATACATATTTAGCATTTAATTCATGGAAATAATTGTTTCAAATTATCACTAATAGAACAATGGCTTTTGTTTTTCATAGTCTCCACTTGGTGCAAGACTTGCAAATGAAAGTGGTAGACTAGGTTTTACAGTCCACCAAACCTCTTATTTGTGCAACGTTTTATACTTTGTATCTCGTAGCCGACTTTCTAATAGAACGCAGCTGTGCAATAATATATCCTTTACATCCATCCCGACGTTGGTGTGTGTTTATACATCCCGAGCACATCAAACCCGAAGTAGTTGTGGTGTCAGATCGCCAATGCCCCCGCTCTAATCAAAAGTAGCCCTTCCCTGACAAAAAAAAGTGCTTTTGATGTCATTAATTGTTTACTTAAAACACTGTGCGGGACAAATTTGCCATTCTAGAATTGGCAAATCTGACTTTGTCGGTTTACAAGATATCAAAAATATTTTTTGCCCAAGTGATAGATAATCAAAAAAATTAAATTTCCCCATATGTCCCAACATGTCACCGTTGTCACTGTTGTCACCACAGCTGATTAAAAGTACATTTCCCATGGGAAATTTAAAAAATCCCATGGGAATATTCGAAGTTCCCATGGGAAAAGTTAAAGTTCCCATCGGAAAAAGTACTTTTCGCATGGGAATTTTAAAGTTCCCATCGGAACTACAATTTCCCATGGGAACATTAGTAGATAGTTTCTTCCCATGGGAAATTCTGAATTTCCCAAGGGAATTTTTGTTCCCAAGGGAACTAATTTTTCTTCCCATGGGAACACCTTTTTCCGTTGGGAACATTTATTCTTTCCATGGGAACTAAAATTCTTCCCATGGGAAGATATATTTTTCCCATGGGAACATTATTTTTTATTTTTTTTTTTTTTCTGAATTTGTCAAAGAGCTATGAAATATCGCAATGGACTGATAGTTACTAGTAACCATGACTGGAACAGTTTAACATTTGATAAAAAATATGTAATTTCAATATATTAAAAGTATTTCTGTCATACTTCTACACTCAAAAGTCTTTTATTACCGTTGAATGATTGATAGAAATTCTACCGTCCAGCGGCTGATTTTACAATATGAATCTCTCACCTTTGTTTTCGATCAATAGCATCATGCATTTTATGTAATAGTGTTCGCCGAACTGTCAAGTATCAGAGCCATGCCTTTGTATTTCAGAATTTAATTTAAGAATAAAAATTATAAATCTGTTTTAATCTATATACATGGGAAATCACGAATCGTGTTTAAGATTGTTTTCTAATTATAATCCTATAATTTCATGAAATTGACTTCATAATTATTATTAATGTACTTATTCTTTTTCGTCGACGTAACTCGATATGCGTGGTTTTCTCCACTAGAAAGATGTGCACTTACTTTTTTAAAGTTTATTTCATTTATTTGGTCAAATTTCTTAATCATGCTAATGCAATATTGTTACTCGTCTACACACAAATCTTTTATTTCAATTCATTTTTGGCAAACACCTTTGAAAGTCTTGTTAGATTTGTCTTTTATGATCTCTCAGGTAAATATCAAAGAGAATCCAGAGTTTTGCATTTCATACGGATGAGGATTTAATATATACTTTATGATATATTCACTTGTACTTTACCGGTAGGCTGTATTCGTGTAATTTATGGTTTAAAGGAATACGAATACTTTATTTCTCATAAAACTTCAATTACTAGTTATCGAGAACATACATAAACATAACTATAAGGTAAAATTATTACATGCATGTGTTAACGATACAATTAAATTAACTTGGAGGACTAACTTTCACATTTATAACTTTTACATAGTTCTTCTAATATTACAATATTTGATGAGTTTAACTGTTGATCAACTTTAAAGATATTAGGGTTTGACTTACAGTAGTTCCGTAAAAATTTCCTTCTTTCTATAGTTTAAATGTTCTACAATTCATAATGTAATGGTACTCGTCACCAATGTTGTTTGTGTCACAGAGACGGCAGATTATGTTTTCTCTCTGTAAATCCTGCCACCTTCCAGACTCAATCGGCAAGTGGTGACTACCACATCTATATTTGCATAATATATAAATGAATTTAGTAAGGTAAAAATGAAAAGTTATTTTTTTCAAATTGTTAATTCTTTTTAAAAATACGATAACATTAAGTTTTATGCGATTCTGCAATAAAAGCAAAGCATTCTTGTTGAAACTGGTCTTTGGGTTTTTGTTTAATAAATTTTGACACCCACTTATCACAAACTGTGCATTATAATATTGGACATAATCATACCGCAGATCATACCGTAATTATCAAAAATATTTTTCATATATGATATCCACTTAGTTTCTATTCCGTTATTAGCATAATATAAAAACACAAGTTTGTATAATTCAACACAAATTTTACTTTCTTTTCCATTAAGAAGTATACTCTAGAAATGTATCATTCGCAACTTTACATAGGACAGTAATGGGTATCTGTCAAGCTCTGCATACGCTATGACATTTGGAGTGAACTGTTTTAACTGTAAGGAGCATTGTCGTCTTTTGCATCTAGATCAAAGACTAAAATGAATTATTTTCCGATTGGATACGTACGAATAGACTGAGACTACTATAACACATAGAGAACATTCGAAATAGTTTTAATTTGCAAATTTTTTTCAATTTGTATTTTTTCCTCACTAGGTAGGTGAAATTATGTATAAAATTTATTGTAAAATTGCGAAACTGCACAACGGGCATATTCTATACTTCTAAGTTTGAATTAAGAGTCTAAACTTTTATAAATATTGAATACGCAACCAAATCTCTGTGATCTTATCCATGTATTATTTATGTTTCTGTCAAAGGCGTTTGATTGGGTATTAGTTTAAGGTAGGCGTGGGTGGTTTTCGGTAACTTTCCTCCAATCAACTGGCCTATTCGACAAACCTGTGTGCGCTGATACGTGTAAACTGACTATTGTAACGGCACGTGTCTTACATCGGAATCTGTCGTGCGTGACCAATGTTTATTGTAGAATTTCTTGTCATGTGGTCAAATTATGATCTGACATACAAGTTTTAAAGGTTGAAACTTAATTTTGCTTTTTGAAAGATTATTTTCGGCAGTGCCCCCGATATACGGTCCTAAAGTGTTTAAGAAAAACAAGACTTTAAAAGAAGGATGCATATTAACAGATAATATAATCTGGGACTATTATACTTAGTATTATAGTCCCAGATATAATGCATGTAGTATATGGCTCTGATATTAACTATAACGTGTTCTGGAAAAAAATTAAGTGTCCGAGAATTTGAATTACCTGATAAGGGCATCTCGATCACTTTCGACAAAATATTATTGCATGAATGGTAAATCGCTGATTTTTAATTCTAGAAGTGGTTTGTGACTGTTATAATAGAGACATTTATACGCATTATGGTTTAAGTTTACAATGAACACACTCAGAGGAGGGGCGACAGCCTTAGGTGCTGTGTGCAAATTTTTGTAGGTCACGTGGTACATTTTAGCGTCCCTCGACAATTTTGAATCTGGAAAAGATCGATTTGTTCATGTTTTTAATATCAAATATACTCTCTTGCACTCGCAGAAAATAAAGAAAGTTTTGAAATAAAAAGATTAATCAATGATAGAAGATCACTTTATATGAAATATTTTCTTTATGTTTTTTTATCTTTAAAGTAAATTCTATCAATAAAGAAATACACTGTAATGGCGGAAAATTTTATTCGATCTCTGCGAAATCACGAGGCACAGATTTTTGTAAATTTTACAAATGTCAGCACGTGAAAATCATTCAAATTTATGTCAATCAAAGAACACTATTCGAACATTCTAAATCTCCTTAAGTCTCCAGCCGTTGCTTCGTAATAAGTCGCTAAAATATGATTTCCGGTAAGTAAAATATCCAAAATATTTGTCAAATCCGCGAGTAACTATGTTATTTTAGGCATATAAACTCTTATGTATTTTAATTATTTTGAAAACAAAATGAAAATTTAGTGTTATGAATAACAATCATGAAAAAATATAGTTTTTTCATAATTGAATCGTGCATTATTTGTGTATTGGATTGCTTAATTGCCTTCTCTGTAGTGTTAAACAGTCTCCGGGACAAGTTTGCACTTCCGCTGAGTGCAAAAGTTGTCACCTTAATTTTTGGAGTTAAGTCAAAATGAAGTTGATAACTTGGTTGGTATTGGTTCCCTGATATTTGTCCTAAAAAATTTTGGCTCTAGCACCACTGTTGAAAAAGTTATGCCCCTTTTTTCAACAATTTCCTCAGAGGAAAAGTAGTTTTCCTCAAGGGAAATCAAATTTCCCTGAAGGAAAAAGATTTTTCCTTAAGGGAAATTGTATTTTCCTCAAGGGAAAAAGATTTCCCTTAGGGAATTTGCTGCATTAATATTTCCTTTGAGGAAATTCTATTTCCTGTGAGGAAATTTGCGGCTTCAAATTTTCCTTTGAGGAAATTCTATTTCCTCTGAGGAAATTTGAGGCTTCAAATTTTCCTCTGAGGAAATACTTTTTCCTGTGAGGAAATTTGCGGCTTCAAATTTTCCTTTGAGGAAATACTTTTTCCTCTGAGGAAATTTTGTCAACAGCAATTTCCTGTGAGGAAATTTTTGACAAACACTTTTCCTTGAGGGAAAATTCAAGACCACAAATTTCCTCTAAGGAAAACATTGTTCTCCAAATTTCCTCTATGGAAATTTCTCTTATTCAATTTTCCTCTATGAAAATTTCATAACAGTAAAAACAGTATGAATATAATTTTTCCTGAGACTGAATAGTTGATACAAAAGATAATTAAAACTTTAATAAAATGTTCAGTGATGAGTAACATCACATACAAAAACAATAGGCTAGCTGTTTGAGACAATACAATAATAAGCAAAACGCTATGAATATCATACTATTTGTGATGTTATTAATATTGTGCTCATATTTGCGGATCAAATAAAATAACCACTTTTCATGTTAATTTAACTTTTCTGCTGCGTACAATTATTCAATCCCCTACAAAACAGTTCAGTGCATAAATAATTCCATCCACCAGACATCTTCCTTCAATTGGTTGAGAATACATTTTTGCAATTTGTTCTTCAAACATCTTCCTCTATATAGTTGATATGACAGAGCTATGTACATGAATGGATAAAGCAGGTGTTTATTTCGACAAAAAAATACTATTTTTTCTACATTTCTCCCTAATCCTTCAGTGTAGGTTGTTGCAATTACACAATTGTGTTCTTGTGCATCTATGATTGTACTCCATTTTGTTTACAGCCATTTTGTAGAAATTTCCTATTTTCTTTTTCCAGGTAAGCACACATTTCATTTCACATTAATCCAATTAGCACACAATGTAGAAAAGTATTAACCTTAAGTTTCCTCTTCTGTATTGATCTGTTGATGATCATGAAAACCAAGAAGTCTCTGCACCTATAAATACACAAAATATAAATTGAGAAAAAACAGCAATATGAAATAAGCTTATTTTATCATGTTTAATATGAACATTTTGGGAAACTTAAATTTGATATTCCTACTAATCATGATTATGAGTTCTGTTATTTCAGTGCTTTGTGTCCACGACTTAATATCAGTCGTTTTAGTGCCTTGCAGTGATAATGAGTTGATCGAGCCACTTGCAACAGTTTTAACAGTTTGTTCATATGTTGTGCTATTTGAACCACTGTCCTAGATTATGGTTAGGTGGAGTGCTCACAGACATGATTTTTTTATTACTTGTTATTGGCTTTGAACTAATTTGGATTGTTTAAATCTTTTCATGTTGGGGTCTTTATTGGCCGACTTATAAGGTATGGGTTTTCTCATTATCGAAGGCCGTCATTGGTCTTTAATTGCTTGCATCCACTTCATTGAACTCTGGTGGATAGATAACTCATTTACCATACCACATCTTCTTATTTTTATAATAGTCATCATTCAAGGGCAATCACTTTTATTATATAGAAGTGGTCTTACCATTTAGGCCTTGTTGTCTTCTGTTTATCTTGTTTTGCCGATCATTTCTACTGTACAGTTGTAATTGTTTATATTTTTCTTTATCTTCTATATTTCTTGCCCTAAACTTAAAAAAGGTAAAAACTATAATTTAATGACAGTCACTATAACTATTATTATACATCAGTATGTGTTTTTCTATATACCATGATATAAAAAAGAATGAAATATTTGTGCTATTTCATTTCACAGACTATTTGCCAGTCAACAGTTTCAAAGACATAACCACGGTCAATAGTTTAACAAACAAACATTCCCGTACTTTTTCATCGTGTTCATACTAATTTTTCAATGGACAACAATGACGTGATTAACTATTCTTCTATGATTTGTGTGCTTGACAACATTAAACTCTGAAATATTGTTAACAGTATAATCTGTATGTGTCTGTCGTCAAAATTTGAAATTAATATATTACTTACAGAAGCAATTAAAACAAGAGGCTCACAAAATGAATGTGGTCTAAGAACTTAAAAATTTCTAATTTACCTATTCAAACCGTATCATTATTATTTGCTTTTATATATAAATCAGAAATAACCAATTTAAAATGGAAAATTTTAAAGAAAACAAAAGGAAAAAAAGTAAAAAAAATCCCCCCAAATTTTTTGAACCCCCTTATGATTCATCACCCCCAAACTCAATCCCAGCCTTCCCTATGTGGTACGGTACCTTGCATTACAATTTCAGAGAGATCCATACACTTGCACACAAAGTTATTGTCTGGAAACAAGAAAAATGCTTGTTTTTTGGCCCCAAATTCCTAAACGTTTAGGGCAATTACCCCCAAACTCAATCCCAGCTTTCCCCCTGTGATATGGAACCTTGTAGTACAATTTCATAAAGATCAATACACTTACACACAAGTTATTGTCCTAAAACTAGCAAAATGCTTGTTTTTTGCCCCTTTTTTGCCCCTAATTCCTAAAATTTTGAGGCAATTACCCCCAAAATCAATCCCAGCCTTCCCTTTGTGGTATGGTACCTTGCAGTACAATTTCAGAGAGTTCCATACACTTGAAGTTATTGTCTGGAAACTAGAAAAATGCTTATTTTTGGCCCCTTATTCCTAAACATTTTGGGCAATTACCCCCAAAATCAATTCCAGCTTTCCCTTTGTGATATGGAACCTTGTAGTACAATTTCAGAAAGATCCATACACTTACACACAAGTTATTGTCATGAAACTAGAAAAATGCTTGTTTTTTACCCCTTTTTTCTGGCCCCTAATTCCTAAAATTTTGAGGCAATTACCCCCAAAATAAATCCCAGCATTCCCTTTGTGATATGGAATCTTGTGGATCAATGTCAGAGAGATCCATACACTAACACACAAGTTATGTCCGGAAGTTACAAAAATGCTTATTTTTGGCCCCTAATTCCTTAACTGTTGGTACCATAACCCCCAAAATCAATCCCAACCTTCCTTTTGTGGTATTGAACCTTAAGGTAAAATTTCATCGAGATCCATTAACTTCAACTAAAGTTAGAGTGTGAAAACCAATGTGTCTTTGGATGACGATGACGCCGCCAACGTCAACGTCATACCAATATTTTGACCACAAAATAAAAACTGCAGTTTCCTTAAAATTACCAATCTAGTGGCAGCAACCCAACAATGGATTGTTAGATTCATCTGAAAATTTAATGGCTGATAAAACTTGACATAATGAACAATTTTACCTCACATAAGATTTGCTCTAAATGCTTTAGTGTTTGAGATATAATCCAAAAACTGCATTTTACCCCTATGTTCTATTTTTAGACATGGCAGCCATGTTTATTGATGAAACAGAAAATAAAACACAAGCTTTATTCTAAATACCCTAAGGATCATTCAGCCTCAGTTTGGTTGGAATTGGTTCAGTAGTTTCAGAGGAGAAGATTTTTTAAAGTTAGAAAACATGATAAACAAATTGTGTAAAATTGTCGTTAAAGTGCAATAACTCCTTAAGAGGTCCATTGACAATTTTGGTTATAGAAACTTATCTGTAGATCTTACTTTGCTGAACATTTTTACTGTTTACAGTTTATCTTTATCATTAATAATATTAAAGATAATAACCAAAAACTGCAAATATTTCTTGAAATTACCAATTAAGTGACAGCAACCCAACAATCATGACAATGGGTTATTACATTCTTCAGAAAATTTCAGGGCTGATAGAACTTTGAATACCTAATGAACAATTAACTCTGTGTCAGATTTGCTCTAAATGCTTTGGGTTTTGAGATAAAAGCCAAAAACTGCATTTACCCCTATGTTCATATTTAGCCATGACAACCATGTAACAAAACACAAACTTTATTGTAAATACCCTAAAGATCGTTCAGCTTAAGTTTGGTAGGAATTGGTTCAGTAGAGGAGAAGATGTATGAAATAGTTTACACCCGACGGACGCCAATGGTTGACGAAAAACAACGACAGACGACGACGGACGCCAAGTGATGGCAAAATCGCACTGTTCCTTCAGAACAATGAGCAAAAAGGCAAATTTAAAAAATTGCGCTGGCTCTATCCAAAAGAGATTTTAACAGTGTAGTGTACTACTTTTGGGACAGGACATATTAACATAATAGAAAAATCTATAAGCTATAACTCAAAATATAGACAATTTTATGTTTAAAGGGTCTTTAATTTAGTTTGACAACTTCACAGACATACTAATATTTGACCTTTTCAAACTTTACCAAATCACTACTTAGGGACCGGTCAAAATTTCTTGATGCATGGGACCGGTGCAAAAAGAAAATTGTCTGAAATAATTCTCTTGATCCCATGGTTACTGGCAGAATAAAAATATGCTTGTCCCATGCACTTTACCTAGTAAAAAAGTGTGTGTCCCATGTTAAAGCACAAAAAACATGATCAAAGTTGTGGCTACATTTCATGCTACAATGTATTTGGATAGTTAAAAAATAATGCTACTATGTGTGAACTGTATCTTTATTGCTGTTATAAAGTAAACAAAACAATACATAAGCATATTTTATTGCCAACACAAATTCTAAATAACATTCATTCAAAATTGCAACATCCTGTTAAACTTAAATCGCAAGGCCTTTTGAATTCACTAGATAAGTAGGTAAACGGACAGAAAGTCACAGGACAAAAAGTCACAAATTTGATAGGACAAAAAGTCACAAATTTGATAGGACAAAAAGTCACAAATAATATGTATTGTAACACTTGTTTGAATATTTTAGAGGAAGATCTTTAAATATTTACTTTTTATTACATATATTTATTTTACAGTTGAGGAAATTGTTCATTAGACTTGATAAATAAAGATTTATTAAATTTTAATCATGCAAAAGATATATTTCTTGGCACCATGAAGCCGTTTAAGTACCAACCCACTTTGACATTATGTTTTCATAACAATTATTTGATCATTATAAATACTTTTTTTTATATAAATTTTGTTTACAAAGTTGCTTTATATACTAAAGTTCAAGAAAAGTACAAAAATCTTTTTTTTTAAATTAGTGTTTTCTTGTTAAAGAAAAATAATCTCAAAACTGAATTGTGACTTTTTGTCCTGTGGCTTTTTGTCTGTGACTTTTTGTCCTGTGACTTTCTGTCCTACATTCGATAAGTAATACACGAGTTTAAGAAAAGTAGGGCTTTCTTTTTACCTGTAAAACACACATGTACTGATGTAATTAAACCTTATTAAAGTGCCTCTTGTATGCCATGTCTTTAAATCTGACAAAAATTTATTTAAATTTGATTATAATAAATTTTTACTGTAACTTTGGAACACATTTCCTTTTTTAAAAGGTTATCAAGGATTGTTATGAAAGTTCTATTATCATGATTATATTAAATTCTTGTTTTAACAAAACAAAGGTGTCATTTTTAAAATTTTATAACTTTTTCAAATCAGCTTGGATTTTCATCAAACTTTTCAGCTATCTTTATTATATATTTATCTTACAAAATACCAGGTTGTTTTGTGTTTTGGTGTATTGTGTCAAATTTAAGGACTTAGTTAATAGGTAAAAAAAGGCTAAAATTTTCAGTTTTGACAAAATTCAGATAGAAACCTATAATTTAAATATTTAAATTTGACAGCAATAAACCAAATTACCAAATAACCTGTTTTTTTGTAAGATAAAAATATAATGAAGATAGCTGTAGATTTGGATGAAAATTCAAGTTGCTTTGAAATAGTTATAAAATAATTCAAAGTTAACTATCCAAATTTAGTCTGAACTGCAAATTCTAGCTTTTTTGAACCAGATTAATTTAATCCTTAAATTTGACAGTAATACCCCAAACTACATAACGACCTGGGATTCAGTAAGATCAGTATATAACTGAGATAGGTGTATGGTTTGATGAAAATCCAAGTTGATTTGAAAAAGTTATAAAAAACATTAAAGTGTACTATCTGAATTTAGTCCAAAATGCAAATTCTATCTTTTTTTACCTAGATTAATTTAATCCATAAATTTGACAGCAATAAAACAAACTACATAACGACCTAGGATTCAGTAAGATCAATATATAACTGAAAAAGCTGTATAGTTTGATGAAAATCCAAGTTGATTTGAAAAAGTTATAAAACAAATTAAAGTGTACTATCTGAATTGAGTCCAAGCTGCAAATTCTAGATTTTTTTTACCTAGATTAATTTAATTCTTAAATTTGACAGCAATACCCCAAACTACATAACGACCTGGGATTCAGTAAGATCAGCATATAACTGAGATAGCTGTAAAGTTTGATGAAAATCTAAATTGATTTGAAAAAGTTATAAAAAACATTAAAGTGTACTATCTGAATTTAGTCCAAAATGCAAATTCTATCTTTTTTTACCTAGATTAATTTAATCCTTAAATTTGACAGCAATACACCAAACTACATAACGACCAGGGATTCAGTAAGATCAATATATAACTAAGATAGCTGTATAGTTTGATGAAAATCCAAGTTGATTTGAAAAAGTTATAAAAATAATTAAAGATGACTATCTGAATTTCATCAATTTTGTTTTACCTATTAATTTAATTCTTTAATTTCACAGCAATGAACCAAACTACCAAAAAAAACTGGAATTTTTATAGATCTATATTTAATTTAGTTAGATGGGCTGATTTACACCATATGTTACTTGTTTGTTCCTCAATTAATCTTGTTTATTTTGTTGTAATTTACTTATTTTCTACATTCATACATATGCCATAACAATATTGCTGTCCTATCAGTGCTGAAAACTAAAAAAGTAGAAGTCCTATCAAAAATTAAGTTAAAAAAATGTGTGTCCTACTGCGTTTTGCACCGGTCCCAACCCCCCAATAAATATTGACCGGTCCCTAAATCTTGAAAATGAATTTGGTATGTTGTAACTGTTAAATTCACATTGTTAGATGTTCATGATGTTATTTTTGTTTGTTATAGATTTATCAAATAATTTTTTTTTCATATACAGACATTGTTTCAAAAAGTTCATGTCCCATGCTTGCCAATAATGAAAAAACATTGAGTCCCATTCCTGTAAACACTGCAAAAAGTGCTTGTCCCATTACAGTTTGCACCGGTCCCATGCATCAAGAAATTTTGACCGGTCCCTTAGGCCCCAAAAAATATATGTCTGTTTAAGGTTACAAACTTTAAAAAAAAAGGCTAGGTAGGTCGGTATTTCCATTTTATTTTATTTTTTCATTTTATTTTTTGCTCACATGATTTTGAGTCATGCCGTTTCGTCTTGTCGTGGTCTGAGTTGATCCTTGGCCAATTTTACCCGTTATTTTAATGATTGGATTATTTCCCATGGTTATTGGTTGGGGAAAAAATGGCGGCAAAGTGTTTATTTCATCACATGAGTCACGAATTTCCTTATAACAGCTGTCATATTCACGATTGTGAACATTGGGATGTATCAGGCAATTGATTTATATTATTGGCAACACAAACTTCATTTTTGACACGAGTTCAGTTAATTTTTGCTTTTACGACGGAAATAAAATGACTTAGGGTCGGCGCTCAAAAGGACGGTCGGTCGGGTAACCGTAAACAGACATATATTTTTGTTTGGCCTTAAGGATGTTCGCTACTCCGTTTCAAAATAACAAGCTTTTTAAAAGAATATGAATAAAGGAACTAAAAAAACAGAAAAAATGAAGGGTCCGTGTGCTTGTTTTTAAGATATAAGCCATTAAAAATTTGGCGGGAAGTGATTCTCTCTAGATTTTTCATACATTTAACACTGGCACCTTTTTCTTTCAAAAGCTATGGAAAAATAACAAGGATTTTATAAGATTTTCAAATATGGCTTTTTAAACTATGTAATAAAAATATGAAAAGAAAAGTAGGGGTTTGCGGGCAAAATTTTTTAATGGCACTGCATGGATAAAACCAGAGGATTCTGAATATCTGGTAAAAATGTTATTCATCCGCAATAAATTTGGAAGGAGTATGAAAATAATTTGCAAGTTATACACTATATCCACACTAGAGACCTTATAGAGTAGAAATACTAATTTTAATCAAACTTGGCATGAACTAAGATTAGAGAATTTTAAGACAGTTTACCTAGTTTCATGGCAATAGCATATATACATTAAAGACTATAAGTTTGAACTTTGGGTGTTAATTTTTTGCCGTTTAAAGTTTAACTATCAAAATTTGGGCCTACATAATTTAAATATTGCAAAAAATTGCTTTTTAAATGTCTTTATAACTATTTATATATAATTGTGTATATCACATGTATGTACATAATGTATTTTAATGTAAAGCAGCTCAATACTCATTTGCTGTCTCAGATTTATTTCAATTCTTCAAAAGACGAATTTATTTGAGCCTATGCCTAAAATTAGAGATTTCAAAATTAAGGGGGGGGGGGGGGGGGGGGGGGAAGCGGCTAATACAAAAATTCTTCATGTATATATATATTTAAAAAATTATTTGTATTTCAAAAGGAAAGAAAGTTACTTATCTGCCTATAGCATACCACATGAGTAGAACAAGGTCCCATTAGGCCATGGAAGACTGAATAACATTTAAGGTCAATATATAGGCAGTAACACATTTTTACATGTATATGAAAAGGCATACACATAAGCTAGAGGAAATAAAAAAGTGTTTCTTTTTGGTAATTTGTAGGCTAAGGTGACATCATACAAGAAGTATGAGTGATTCTCAAACTAAAATAAAATAATTTCATCCCCCTACTTCATTGTACTTACTGTTTATGCATAAAAAATATAAATAAATAAATTTTAAAGTAATACATGGTCCACACTAGGAAATCTTTTTGTAAAAAATGAAAATCAATGGATGATAACTGTGTACTTGGACTAACAATTAAGATTTCACAGGCTGAAATGTCTCGTCAGTCCAATCTCAATCAGTGAAATAAACTATTGTTTGGTTTTTTTTAAAGTCATATGGAAGTAGTCCAAATAATTATGACGCATTGCAAGGCTTTTTTTTCTCTCTCTGACGCCGTAGGAAGGAGGAGTGAGTTGACATAACATGTATGTTATCATGCAAAAATAACAGTAATGAGTATACCTTTGATTGTCATCGTCACTGCAAATGGATCATTATACTAGGGGGAATGGAACCAATAAATTGATCGGATCCGATATGAAGTTCCCAGTAACGGAGAACCTCTAACTTTGAGGTAATATTATTAGTGTCGGTGGTCTCACAAGTGAATCAGGGTGAATTGCAGGTACATTAATTAGCAGAGAATAGACAATTATCAACTTGTTATTCATTATCTCGCAGTTATTTACGGTTAATTAGCTGTATATATCCCAAAACAGGTGCTCGGAGCTAGTACTAGTCTATGTCTATGACTTTTAAGTAACAATTATATTTATATTCACAATCAGTGGCGGATCGAAGGGGGATGGGATCCGGTTTCTGATTTAATGGAGACATATATTTCAGTGGCGGATCCAGAACTTTTTGTAAAGGGGGGGGGGGGGGGGGCGCTGACTGATCTAAGGGGGGCCCGCTCCAGTCATGCTTCAGTGATTCACTATATAATAAACCAAATTTTTCCCACCAAAGGGGGGCCCAGGCCCCCCCCCCTGGATCTGCCTATGTATTAAGACCCCCTTTATCCTGGCTAGAATCGCCCCTGATATTACATGTAAATCAAGTCCCGGGTTAATTACTGTTAGCATAATAGCATAACGGTAATCACAAAGAGTGTGGTAATTTTAAAAAGGACGAGGATTTATAAATATACAATTCTTGAAGAGGGGGAGAGTGCACTTCACGATGATCGAAAAAAAGTGCCTTGCATGTTATTTTCACCATCTTGACTGAAACAGTCTGAATAATGAGCTTCAAGGCGAAGCGCGAAAATAAGTCATGTGAAATACTAACGTTGTACGGACAAACCCTTAAATCCCTCAATGTTATGTCAAATGAATTATAGCGAGGAAAAGTAAATTTAATTTAATATCAAAACTAAATATTTGTTATATTTCGCTCCTGATTTCTCAAGAAATCATAGAATCAATCAATGTATAAATTTCAATTATGCATGTCTGTGTGAGATCAGGAACATATAGATATACTGTTCCCAGGTGAGATCCATTTCATGAGACCAAGGATTTCTATAAAATCCTTGATGGGACCCTTTATATATATATGTCTCTGATACAGTTTTCTATTTTCCCCGGAAAAAATTTAAAAAATATATAATCTTTTGGGAAATAATCCGATTTTGTTGAATTATTTCCTTTCATAATTATGATAAATCCTTTTAGTTCTTCAATTTTGAATTAAAATAAATATTTCATTTTGATCTAACGACAAACTTTTTAAATTGTAGTGGCATGGTCAGTCAACTGATTAGTTGCATGGCTGATTACCAGTTTACTGGTGACCCAGTAATTTTCCATATGACAGTGGCGTGTACCCTTGGGGTGTGTATAACTTATTTTGAATACCTTAATTTTCTTGGGAACATCCTGTCCACGTGTAATACTTAGTATATATTGCAACAGATGACATTAAACAAATTTTCTTTGTAGCATCGGTGTCCATTTCATGTTCAACCACTCAAAATTTTCACAAAAAAGATAATATAATAAAATCATTAAAAAAAAAGATTAAAAAAACACTAGCAAATAAACTTCGCAATGAGTAAACGGGGATTTGTGTTCAAAAGGGCTTATTTCCAGTGAATATATTTTATACTAGATAACTAGACCTGAGATAACTTTTTTTTTGTAATATATATTTTATTATTTTCATATCATTCTCAAATCTCGATCATCTTAGATAAAGATGTATAAAAAATAATTTTGTTATAACTCATAAATATATGGTTAATCATAATTGTTACAAATTATAAAATGGTAAGTCAATGCCCGATGTGCCGCCGTCTGTTGCAAAACAACGATTTAATCTTTTAAATGAAAGACGTGCACTGCCTTCATCGGAATAGAGGAAAGTCCACCTAGTGTACATTAAAGAGTATCCGTTTGTTATGCTGAAAAAAAAGAGATCATCATAAACTTTTTAGCAGACCTTCTCGTGTAAAAAAAAACAAACTTTTAACTGAATTAAACAAAAAATTATCAAACAAAACTCATTAGAAAACTCATAGTAACATTTTGTTTAAACCTGAGATAACTTATAGTAAGATTATTTATATATAACAATAAAAAAAAATGTCCAATCTGATACACGTACCTATAATCTGGGACTATTAAACTAACTATTTTTTTAGTATAATAGTCCCAGCTATAATGTACAAAATTTTGAACAGCTTCAAATATATGGCCTTATCATTGGTAATATATCATATTTGTATCAGTTATTGCTGAACGTGTAACTAAATTAAAATGAAGAAATAGGCTCGAAACCGCATTTTTTAAAGATATTTTTTTTCAATCAAAAAATAGATAATAGATATGCAGATTAATTAAAGTCCCGATGAGAAGATTCACTTTCTTTTCTACCGAAGTAAATATATTAACAAAGATTTAGGATATCAATAAATTATTAAATTCATCAATTTATTAAATTTGAACATGTGAACCAAACAACGAAAAAAAATAAACGGGAAATTGGCTATACCTTTTTGGTATTAGCCATGAAGCCATGTATATACCAGCCATTTTAACTTATTGTTTTCTTAACCTTTAAAGAATACATTTTAAAATGAACTACTTTATTTATAGTAGTTCAAGAAAAATATATATATATATCAAAAAGTTTTAAATTTTGTCCATGCTGTGTATAAAATAGGAAAAAAACATAAGGCTGAAAATGCACCAAATATTTATATTCAATATGAATATTCACATTTTGTCTATTACAACAATTTTTGAACAACTTGTTGTTGTAATAGACAAAATGTGAATATTCATATTGAATATAAATATTTGGTGCATTTTCAGTCTTATTGTTTTTCCTATATATATTATATGGCCTTCCAAATACCGTTTCGATCCCTAACATCACTGAAGAGACATTAAATGTCGAAATCCGGATATGGTGTACAAATTTTTGCACCTCATGTTTGCGGTATACCATCTTTTCCGTAAGTTTATTGTTTTCTGTTTGGTATTTAATTAATATGTAAGATCCATTTTTTACATCTGGTGATCAATTTATTTGGCAATAGCCAATGGCAGTCAGCAGGGTTTAAGAACATCAGTTGTTCGACCTGTTAGTCAAATGCGTTTTGTTAAAAATACCTTTTCACTTTTTGGTCTTTTGGAAAATGTTGTTTGTGCTGTATTTAGACCCCTCTACCAAGAAATTTGTAAGTTGTGCTGTATTTAGACCCCTCTACCAAGAAATTTGTTTTACATGCACACGTATAAAAATTGCGGTTTTTATCCAACGCAATCATAGGTTTGAACGTTGTTTTCAATTTAGACGTGTATATATATATATATATATACATATATTAGATAACTCTTTCCTTTATATTCAATGGAACAAGAAGCGAATTCGTTAGCGAACTAGAGTAACTATAGAAATAGCGTCGTTACAGGTCTTCTTCTGACCGGCAATAAATCCTTAGCAGTAATGATAGTGGAACGTCCATTGGGTTGTGCTCAGACACGTCCGAATGGGGACGCTGAATCCTTGCAACAACTCTTCAAGTGGACTATAAGTAGCCTGGTATTAAGCCAATTTTCTGTCCATCCTTTTTCGTTGGCAGTCGAAATTTTCCGACCGTATCACGGGCGGTCTCAATTACAAGACCTACATGTACCTATCATATATTATTCGGTACGTCAGACACACCCGACATTTATCAACCAAAAACTCAAAATTTTACAGTAGGGAATGAATATCTCCAGATGAAGATTACATTATGACGTATGTTTATTTTTTAAAGACCAACAAATCGATTTTTATCACCAAATTTGTCTTTGCTGAGATTAACACTGAAAAAGTATAACAAAACGTAACGATTGAAAACTCACAGTTCAGTTTTTAAGATATTTTTTTCTTTGGAAACTAACAGACTAATTTTCAAAAAGTTTTTTTCTTGAACCATTATTTATGAAAACGAATTGTAAACAAAAGTTATTCTCAAATATTAATAATGATCAATGATTGTAAAGAAAAAAATCCATCATAGTAGTTTGTTAATTTACTGGCTCCATGGTGTTAAACATGTCACCTTTCTTTTACAAATAACTGATTAAAAATATGAAGCCTTTACTGTAAAATAAATCATTCTAATAAAAATAAATTCATCCAGATTTTTCTCTCATAACCTTTCAACAGTTATTGTAAACTAATTTATTCGAACTTGCTGTCCGTTTACCAATATTTATACTTTATAAAATGTTTTCATATTCATTGATCATTAACTTCATGTTTTGCGAATACTTATAAGGGGGTAATTATTATAGTCAGTAATAGCTAACAATTTATCTAAAGAAAACGAGATGCTATATTCAAATTCTGAGATATGAATCTAGTTCTTTAAAAAAAAATTCTCCACAACAAAAATTCTACACTTTCATTTATCTGGGTCTTTTTGTCTCCGCTTCGAAGCCGCCATCCCGTACCAGACATATTTATTCGTTTGGCAATATACAATCATGTAAGCAATATACAACAGGCAGTAGATCTGAATTTGTAAATTGTTATTTTGGATTTTACCTGATTAGGACGTGTCTCGTTGAATTTTCTAATAAACTTACACACACATAATCTGACTTTTAATCGTAATGTTATGAGATCTATAAGAACATAGAGCTACTGTATAGGCCTAGTTGCATGCAAGTCTTTACAAATTATATATTTTGGTATGCTATAGTTGTTTTTATAGACTATTTGTCATTTGGTCGGGTTTTTTTTGTTGTTTTTTTTTTTAGTTTTTGACATGGCATTGACTCGAGTTTGATATATTATGGATCTTTTGTGCTGTACTTTAACAATTATTTACAAGCATGCTGCATGTTTACACATTCATCACTATACCGCATCTAAATATAGCTTTATTGTAAAAAAAATAAGGAGATGTAGTATGATTGGTGATGAGACAACTATCAAACAGAATTTAAAATACCTTATATAAGCAATTGTGACTTACTTTCTTTACTCAGAGTGATCGTAAATTAATCAGATAAGCTGGAGGAGGGGTGGGGGCTTCATATAGACCCATATTAAATGAAAAGAAATTAGCATTAGCTTTTTGTGAT